GGCTACCGATTACCACGTTTACAGTTACCACACATACAACAAACCTCGCGGATCAGCTCCAGTGACAATCACAAGACATGGCATTTCGCGTGCAGTTCGAGGGGAACAATGAGGTCGGCGTCTTTGCCAAACTCACCAACGCTTACGCATTGGTAGCCATCGGCGGCTCTGAGAACTTCTACTCCATCTTCGAGTCGGAGCTCTCGGACTCCATTCCGGTGATCCACGCGTCGATCGCCGGGTGCCGTATCGTGGGTCGCATGACGGCCGGCAACCGACACGGCCTACTGGTGCCCAACTCGACCACCGATCAGGAGCTGCAACACATCCGCAACTCACTGCCAGACAGTGTCCGCATTCAGCGCGTGGAGGAACGGCTGTCGGCGTTGGGGAACGTCGTGGCGGCCAACGATTACGTGGCGTTAGTGCACCCGGACGTGGACAGGGAGACCGAGGAGATCATTGTCGACACGCTTAAGGTGGAGGTGTTTCGGCAGACGGTAGCCAATCAAGTGCTGGTCGGCTCCTACTGCTCGCTGTCTAATCAAGGTATGTATGGCACGGGTAGTGGTGTGTTGATAGTGGACAGGTATGTAACACATGTTTTTGGACCTACTTTTAGGTGGTTTACTCCACCCGAGGATTGGTGTTGAGGCCCAGAATGAGTTGTCATCACTACTGCAGATACCACTGATCGCCGGCACTGTGAACAGGGGTAGCGAAGTGATCGGCGCCGGTATGGTTGTCAACGACTGGTCCGCCTTTTGCGGGTTCGACACCACGTCCACCGAGATATCGGTCATTGAGAGCATATTTAAGCTGAACGAAGCGGTCGGTCCTAACGCTATACAGACATCCCTCAGACAGTCGCTCATCGAGAGTATGACATAACCGGGCGATCGGTGTGCGAGTGGTTTAGTGCTATGTTTTTGGGTTAAAACAAAACTTTTGTTTCGATTTCAAAATTAATGTTTTATTTTTTAATGATAATAAATAACTGATTTGTCATTTGATTCGCTATTTTGTAATTCAATTCAATTATTTAAAGTATTTGTAAGTTAAGTGAAATATAACTTAGACTTATATACAATACCACTGATCGCCGGCACAGAGTTAAGTAGCCTAGTTCACTCTACATCTAAATAAACACACGATTAGTATTACAATTAAACCAAAAAACTTAACCCAAAGTTTGCCAAAACTTTTTCGCATTCAATGCACGAGTTTTTTTTCGGACGATATTTATGGACAACACTTACAGCAAACCAAACGATCCGTTTTTGACAACACTTTTCAAAACACCAAACAAACTATCACTTAATTGATCCCAACATTAACACCCATTATCTTATCGGTGGTAAGCCCTACAGCACACACACACATATGTCTATACCGGACGACACGTGGCGGCCCAAGAATGTGGTACTGGAGACCAGGTATAAGACAATTATCACCACCACTAGCATTGGTGGCCAATCACCGGCACTATTGTCACTAATTGTCTTATCCCTTACCACCGATGATCACCACAAGTATGGGTGAGATCGTGATAGAGCTGTATTGGACGGAAGCGCCGAAGACTTGCAAGAACTTCGCGGAGTTGGCCCGAAGAGGATACTATAATAACACCATTTTTCACCGCATTATCAAAGGCTTCATGATTCAGGGTATGTGTGGTCACCACCAGCTTATCCCCTATGCTAGCCATTCAACCAGTTATTGTCCACTTGATATGAGTCCCCCCCCCCCGGGTGTTCATACAATTGACTATCACCTCATTTGATCCCTTACTAGTCATTCACTTCAGTATATACTGTATTGACTCCCGGGGTGTCCACCAATTGATTATCACTTAATCTGATCCCTACGCTAACCACTCATTATTCACGTGAATATCTCTGGTGTCCATCCAATCCACGATCACCTCAATAGATCCCTTACTTACCACTCATTCCCAATACCTGTCGACTCTCACCACCAATTGTCTATCACCTCATCCGACACTCACTGACCACTCATTAATCTCTGTATCTCTGTGTTTGTGTCTAAACAGGCGGCGACCCGACCGGTAAGGGCACCGGCGGTACGTCCATATACGGCGCCAAATTCAATGACGAGATCCACCCTTCCCTCAAGCATACCGGCGCCGGTGTGTTGAGTATGGCCAACGCCGGCGCTAACACCAACGGCTCGCAGTTCTTCATAACACTGGCGCCCACTCAGCACTTGGACGGCAAGCACACCATCTTTGGCCGGGTGTCGGGCGGTATGGAAGTGGTCGACAAGACGGGCAAAGTTAAGACCGATAAGAACGACCGCCCCCTCCAGGAGGTTAAGATTGTCAAGTCATCCGTCAAACTGTAGTTCCCCTCTCCAAGAGTTTGTGATGACAGTTGTCTCCAGAGGTTGCGGTGATGTTTGTGTTTGCGTTTCATTTCGTGGCTAAAAGTCCCCAAAATTTTTGTCTCATTTAGTGGTTAATTAGTTTTGTTTTTGGATTTAATTTTTTTTCTAATCGTAAGATGTTTTTGTAAACCAAATGTAAATTTTTTCGTATGTTTTTTGTAAGAGTTAATGAAATGTGAAATAAATTTTCATTTTTTTTGTTCATTTTGTAAATGATTTTTGAGTTTTTTTGTCGCTTACGGTATGTGTATTTGGTTTTGTAGTCAATCGGAGTGCAAGTGTTTGCCGTTTTTTGAGACTTTAGTCTTACTTTTTAGTAATTTATAAATAAATAACTTATTTAGTAGACTATGAGATCATATGATTATGATCTCCAGAAAAGTGGATATTATACAGACGGCTACTTGTATCCCGGTGATTAATATAAAACTTATTCACTATTTTAATCTCCTTTGATTTTCAAAAATATTAATCCTTTATAATAATTTTATATTAATATTCAACTGATAAAACATTCAAAATTGTATTTATCGATCAACAAAATATATTACGAATAATAAAATATACTGTATTTTGAGTCACCAATGAATTGCAATAAAATTAATAATTTTAAATTATAATAAATAGT